TATATATATATATATTTATAGCAAGCATTAACACCATAAAGTCCCAAAAATCAGCATCCTCAGAATTAAAGTAGCAATTCACAACATGAACAAAACAGGTCATCACCCCTCAATTTCAAGCATCTTCACCATTTCCTTCACTGATTTTTTGCAGTAAGGATCCCCAATCAGCAGCCTCCATTTGATCCAACCTTGTTTGTTTTATGGCCCTTAATCTTGCACATCTTTCAGCCTACAAATAATAGCAACTCAACACAAGTAAAATATATGAAATAAAACATAAATATAAACAAAGAGTTTAAAATAGATGCTATTTAAAATTTCAAATCACATGAATAGCACCCACATCTAACTGTTGGTATGTGATGCTTTGTCTTTTAATTGGTTGATGTGGTTGGCTAGACACCATATTTTCTTCCATGCTCACTGTAGTAGACCTCATAACACTTTGTAAGTTGCCAATATCTAAGCTAAAAATATCAACATTCAACTGGACAGATTGTAAAGTCACTGCAGGAGCTTCATTTTTCTTAGTTTTGGCTTGCTTTTTCTTTTGATTTGCAACACCCTACACCCAAATTTGTCAAACAAATGGTAATAAAAAAAAAAAAGTCTAAAGTCATTAAAATCAGTTAAATCATGAAATAAAACATAAATATTAGGACCTTTTCCCCATTTTTCTTCTGTGATTTAGTAGTATTGCTTGCAGCAGCATTCTGATTAATGTTGAAAGAGTTGTTTACCCTAGAATCTTCAACTACCGGAGTACTCTTTTTCATCCTTGACCTACTTGTTCTCTTGAACTCTTTATGTATTTTACTCAATTCAACACTTTTTGCAATCTATTTTTTCCTTGAATGATTTTTTTTTTTAAAACCATCACAGTTGACTCAAAAGCTACCAGATCTAGTTGGACATTAGAATTTTGATGAGCTTCTACTGGAAGTTGAATATCAGAATGTGATTCAACAATAACAGGAACTTGAACATCAGAAAACTTGTTGAACACTAAGAAGAGCTTGAACATTAGAATCTGATTGAACATTAGCAGTTGGTTGGACATCTAATGGAACCTGATTTTGAGCACTTATTGAAGAATCTTCAACCTATCACATAATTCACACAACTCAAATTAATTTTTCACATAAAAAAAATAGTTTGGAACTTACAGCAGTTTTTTGGATTTTTTTTGGACATGATCTTGAATTGTGACCCTTTTTGAAGCATACTTGACAAGTCATTACCCTTCCCTTTCTACTCAAGGTTGATCCACTAGTTTTTTTTCCATTCTTCTAAATGCCTCTTTTTCTTAGGCCTTCCCGGTGTGTTTTTTGGAATTGGAGGATCAACTTCAGGCATCCCTGAATCAGCCCACAATTGCATTCCATCAATAGGAATTATTTCATGTTTGTATGTGTCAATGTATGCTTGCTTTCTATAACATGGGTGCATATAATCTTCATAGTTCTCGTGCCTATGTTGGATGACAAGCATTCCATGTCTACAGGGAATACCATTGAGTTGCCAAACTCTACAACTACAAGTTTGGTCCCGAAGATTGACTAGAAAGGAATATGGTTGTTCTTGTACTTCATAATGCCATCTTGCTTGTGATTTTATATGGCATCTTGACATTTTGTCTCTATGGTCTTCAATCTTCTCCCAAATCTTTGGACCAAAATCAACTTTGAATTTTTTCTCAGCAAACTCCAACTTTTCAATGTTCCTTCTACTGCACTTTCTTCTAAGATCCTCTAGCAATGAGAGAGGACCCTTATGCCTTGCATCTAGAATGAAACCATTGAAAGCTTTAGTCATGTTATTGTGAACTACATCACATGTTGCATAGGTATCGAAAAATGCCTTGCACCAAAATTTTGGGTCTAGCTTCATCACATAATCTTTAGCTGCAGGCTTCGATTTATTGAGCTCCTCGAGATTCCTCTTAAATTCACCTTCATTTGTTGACTTGGTAGTGATCCAAAACCATCTTTGCAATGCCTTACCCTTGTGTTCCTTTCTAAAATTTGCATAGATATGCCAAGCACATCTTCTATGACGTGCTTTTGGGAACAAATTCTAGATAGCATTAATCAACCCCTACAAAATGGAAAAAGATAAACTAATTTCTTTAATCATTGCTTGCACAAGTATATAATTCATCAATAAAACATAAAAATTTACCTTTTGTTGATCCAATACAAAAGTATAATATTCTCCATCACCAATTTTTAGATTATGATTCAAAAACTCCAAGAACCATGTCCATGTGCTTGTGCTTTCACCCACCACAATGGCCCAAGCAATTGGATACATTTGATTATTTGCATCCCTTCCAACTGCAGATAGTAATTGACCCTTGCAAGAACCTTTTAAAAATGCACCATCTAGACCAAGTATTGGTCTACAACCAGCTATAAACCCTTCTCTTAGTGCAGAAAGCAGACATAAAAGCGTAAAAAAACAAGTTTAGAATCTGGTGTAGGCCTCCTTGCATCAATCTCGAATGTAGAAGTGGAATTCTTCTTCAGCAGCTCTAATCTGTAATCAAATAATTTCTTATATTCTTGCTCACAGTTGCCTTGAAACTCTCTGACAATAATTAGTTTTGTTCTTCTAGCCTGACTCATTGTGAACTCAAGATGGGGTTCCTCATGAATTGCTTCTTGGATATTAATTTGGGAAAGTGTAGTAGCTGAAATGCCCCTTGTCTTAATGAAGTGTTTGGCTAAAATTCTTGATTTAACCCTCTTGTTATTACAACTCAAACCACATGTATGCTCATCTTTGTAAGTTTTTATCATCCAGCTTTTTGTCCTACCATCAATGGACAGTAACAAAGCCCAATTGCACCTTTTATCTGCACATACAGCCCTCACTCTTTTTTTATCATTCTTCTTCAAGATTGTTTCTCTTTTCACATAAATAGAGTGTGCTAGAACAGTATCTTTAAACTGCTTCCTACTCAAAAAAATCATTCCTACTTCAAACTCTGGATTGACAATGGAGTCATCAAACACCTTGTGCAGTGATCGCCTTCTTCTTGCTTCCTCTGCCTCACTATCATCACTAGTTGTAACAAAGCTGACCTCATCATTAGAATCGATTGAGTCACTAAGGCCATCATCAACAAATGCTTCAGTTGGATCAAATAAAGCCCTATCTATATCAGCATCATCTCTATAAAACTTAACACTATCCTTGTACTGAGTCCTTGCTGCTTGCCACTCCTCATCCTCATTGTCAGTTAACCAAGGAATATCAATATACTCATCACCACTGTTCACATCTTCTTCGGTTCTTCCTTATGCACAATTTCTAGTATTTTGTCCTACAATTGGTGTTTGAATCTCCTGGCTAACACAACCAAAACCATTTTCCCATTCCAAATCAACCCCAGATGTATGCAAATTTACATTACATGCCACTGTCTCACCAACCATTAAAACATCATTTACTAAACCATTATTCCCATGAGAGGGCCCACCTTTTGTCACTTGTTTCTTAATTTCAGATTCATGTTCAACGTAGACATCTATATACCCATGATACATTGGTAGTTCAAACATGTCAACAATTGAATCATCAGAAATAATTAACACAAGGCCATTATCAAGCTTCTTTGCAGGATTTTTATACCACACAAAATATGTCATGCCATCTATGTCCATATGCAAGCATTGCAATTTCTCTCTAAAAATACGAGGTTCAAAACTACTAGGTTTGAGCCATATACTATGAAAACTACCTCCGACATACCGAAGTGTTGGGTCCCTAATGAATCTACCCCCATAATTCAAGTATATACCATATTCAACACAATCAACCATTTCACCTACAAAAATTAGGGACCACATATTAGAAAAGAACAAAAGAACAAAAGAATAATATCTATTTCATTATGTAAAGTGGAGGACAACACCAAAGAAATAATTAACACCATAACATTATATTTAATCGATCTTTAATCATAGATTACTAGTTGATTATTACCTCCTAAAAAGCCTCAACAATTTTACTCAAAACACAATGCCTTCCCCTTTTCAGAGATTCCTGTATTCTTATACTCTGTTTCTTGAGGTTTTCACGTTTTGGGTAATAAAGATAAAACAAGGCTAAACAATATATGTTACCCAATGGACTGGTCATGTGATGAATAGCCAAGCAGGAAAATTGAAAGTATATTGCCTTCTTCCCCTTTTCTTCTTATTTTCCCGCTTGTCTTACTTTTTCCATATGTTTTTTGTTGGCATCCCGCATTCTAGAAACCAAAAAAAAAAATTGAAAGCAACTGGGCAGAGTGGTCCCTATTTCGTGCATAGGTGGCATCACAAGTGGTAGCATACGTGGAAAAAAAAAAAAAACAAATGGGTTTAACTATTGACCGTTTAGGACTTAACGGTCAACAGTGACAGCAACATGGACAGTGTTAGGGGAGGGATGACAATGAACAAAAAAAGCCAAGTAGAGGGACGACGTTTTGGCTCTTTGGAGAGTAGAGGGACGACAATGAACATGACCTTAGTAGAGGGACAAGAACGAATAAAATATTAAAGTAGA